AGTAGTTTGAAACTGATGGAGATACTTCAATAGGATGGCTTAGAAATTAAAGGTTTGGAGTTTCAGTTTTACTGTCATACTTCAAAATCCGAATGCCAATGTACTCACAGGGATAATTACAAATAAATTAAAACCAAAATATTTTGAAATCACTGAAATCAAATGTTTTGGTTTGAAAAATGGATTTATATTTTCCAAAAGTAATACAACATTTTAGCTTTTAGTTGCTGTTCATGGAAAATATTTTCAAAAATTTCAGTAATGCTGATGGAAAAAAATCCTCAACTTTCTGCCCAAATTTAATACAACTTTTTTTACCAACAAACATCACACACACAGAAGAGATGAAGGACATGGCTTATCCAAGAACAGGAGGTCTCCAGCCACTTTACTTGACATATTTTCCCACCAGTACATAACACTTCCTGTTACAGTTCCTTATGAACTGCTTAACAGAGGAGACTAACTGGACCTGTCTGGTCTCTTCTGAATCCTCCCAGGTGCTGGGCAGAGCTGTTTACCCTATTTTACTCATGTGGCAGCTGGGAATTTTGCAATTCTTTTCATTTAACCTCTATTGTCTCTGACATGATTCATGCACTAGGGCAACAGGGAAAAAGTATAGAAATTATATATAATATATTCAGCTTGGAGAGTTTCAAAAAACATCAGCTCTTTCTGCAGCTGGAAAGCAGAGAAAAGAGAAAAGTGTGACTAACTCTTCTTAAATATATAGAAGATGTGCACCAGAAAAGGAACTGTGTTACTGTGGTGGGAGAGTTCATATATCTGTGATTCACAACATTACAGGGCCCATTTGGTATGCAAAAAGAGAGGATGATAAAAGGAATAGTTAGTCATGGAGAAAAAGCTAGACAGAACACACAAAGATGCTAACTCCTGGGAAAGGGTGCATATTTAAGTGTGATCCACAGTCTGGGAAAGGTAATACGGTTTTTTTTCTTTATTTTCCTAAAATACCTTCTTACTTTGGTTGCTAGAGTACTCGAAGGAGTGTCCTTCATCCCACCCTTGAAAGAGCACCATGAACTCCAGTGCACTGTTCAAGCCTATCTCTACCTAGGTAGATGGTACACTATTCTTCAAGCTTTTGCTAAAACCAGACAGCCAAATTCTCTCATGATCATGTTCTTTTCTCCTCTCACTTTAGAAAGTATTCTTTAAGGCAGGTAGAAGAGGAAAAAACGACATGCCAGCTGTGCTGCTGGAGCACATGGTGTATAATGCTTTGCATGCAATTGCTGAAATCACCACTGTTGAAATGCTTGCAGATAGATGGTGTTTCTGTTAAACTTTCACCTCCCTGAAAATAGTCATATTTAAAGCAGGGATGAAGGAGAATGATTTGCCTTAGGGATCCCCCTTGTCGACTCATGTGATTGCTGTTGAAAATGGTCTGGATCTAAAAGACCACAAAGGTGTTTGATGTTCTTCATATATATCCTTCAGCAAAAGAACTGGGAGAACAGTCAGTGCTCCTGTGTGTTTGCATTTTCAATAACACACGTGAAACAAGCTGTGCCCTGCCAGTTTGGAACAAGCTCTATCCTGCCTTGATGTACCTATGCTGCGTCTCTTCTACTGGTGTGTGTGAAGAGGGTGGGCAGGAAGGGGGAGAAATAACATTCATAGGGAAGAAAAAGGAGTGGGGTCAGGGGAAGAAGATAAGAGGAAGATAAATGGAGGGAAGGAAATTAATTGGTGGGCAGAAATAAGACACTGTCCAAAAAAAAAGAAAGAATTTAGATAGGGAGGGAAAAGGCAATTGAGATAAAAAAGCTCAAAAGACACAGGTGAAGAAGCAGGCAGGCATAAGGAAAGAGATAAAAAAGGAAAAAAAATAATGTAAAATGCATAGAATATAAAGACAAAATTAGATTAACCATCTCACCAAAAAGGAGCTGACAAGAGTAACATGGGGAAAATCAGATTGGTAAGATGGCAGAAACAAACCTAAAAGGAAACACGGAAGGCAGTAACATAAGCTGCATTTAACAGTGTTCATGGGACAGGCCTTCCAACAATTATTTGTTATGCTGTTGCCCTGTGGTCACTGATAGTGGTGACGTCTGGTTTCAGATCAGGTCTCTCAGCACCAAGGACAAGTTACAAGGAGAAAAGGACACAGCTGTGACTGCCAATCCAGTCTCCTGAGTGGCAGAAGGATTCCATAGAAAAGTCTGTGGTAAAGCAGAGAACTGAACCTCAGTTTACTGCCTCCTTTAAGTCAAGACAGTCTTCTGCCTTTCCTTCTCTGCCACGTTTGATGGATGAATCCCTGCTCTGCTACTGCCATTCACCTCCAGTCAGGACACTAGCCCAACCAACATCTAGGAATAATGGACAAGAGTATGGTAAACAATTCAGTATGCTGCCAGCAGAGAATACAGTCCCCCTTTCTCCAATAATGACTCCAGATTGTTTTGCTGCCTTCCTGCAAGGTTAGGACTACCAGCCAATCTGGGAACATACACCCAAGTCATAAAATGAATTATGGCTAACTAGTGCAACTCAAAATAAGGAAAAAAGGAGTAGATAATTTTTAGAATTATTTCCCATTCACACAAGCATCAAAAATGATAGATGGTATCACTGGAGAACTGCAGCACCAGTGGAACACTGTTCTATCACAGTGTTTACCATGGGTGTCTTTACCTCATCCATTAAAGCTCTTAAACACTGCTCTGAATCACAAGGTATCTCCGAGGGCCCGTGGTGTAGGCAATTTCTGTGTATGATATCCTGCAACAGTCCTCTAGGGCTGCTAAACCACCCGCTCATGCTGTAGGCACACACTCAAACACACAAGTGATCTCACTGTTTTTTGCAGCACTATTTATGGCAATAACAAACGATTCATCTGAGTGGGGGATTATTGTCAGTTAGGCCAAAAAAAAAAAAAATAGCCAGGAGCATCTTCTTCCACCTGAATCAAGAAAAGGTTTGGAGCTGAATTCACACCCTGCTCTGGGTCCCACTTGTGTGCCTGTGTGCTTGGAAAGCAGGCACTGCTAGTGCCCCTGAGTGATTCAGAACATCCATGTGGGAACGAGCAGGCAAAATCAGTCAGAGTCTGTCGTCCTTTGTGGCCCTTCTTACATCAATAGTGTAGAAATGTAAAGGGCACAAATGCTGCAGGTAAATATGACTGGTGTATTATTATTTTTTATGTCAGACAGGTCGTGTCCTTGCTTAACCATAACTTTCCTAACTGAATCATTTCTGGTTCCTTTAAAACATGGGCTAATAATGATGAATCAAAGGTAGAGATGATCCTAATTTAAAGAGGCACAGTACAAGACCGTGGTATAATCAAGGAAACTACTGTTATCTAGAGACACAGAACAGTTGCAATTAATTCTGCATTCCTCACTTTAGCCCAAAGACATACTAATAGCATTCCCCTTAGCCACCTTGCATGGTGCCATTCAGCACATCAGAAACAATGAATACGCACATCAACTGAAGAGTAAGGGTAATTTCCTGTGGTTGTTTTACAAGCAAGAGATTAAACTGTGACTACCCCACAGAGTTTAAACAATGGCTTGTAATAAAACTGATGCCATAACATGTAATCAGAAGTTTGACATGCCTAATGCAGCATTCATATGTAAACTGTCTGCAGTAGAAACAGCCCAGCCCTCTAATTTCAGTCTTTGTTCCAAAACGAAACCTTGGGCCAGGTAACTGTGAACACGTGCTGAGGTCCCTGTCAAAGGATGGAGACAAAATTTCTCCATGGAATTAATGCAGACCTCAGACTGCCTCTGTGCAGGCAGAAGCTCTCTGGAGCCCATGAGAAGACGGGCTCTGTTTGAGCCTGTTAGTAAGCACATAATTGCCACGCATGACTGCATGGGGAAATTTTCAAGTTTATCTCAGTTACCCTTCCATTCCTCCCTTAACTAAACCACTCTACACAGTTCCTGTATGATACCAGAGACATTTACCACATCATTTGATGTCTTCCTAATGTTAGAAATATCCCATAGACATCCATCCACAGATTTTCTAAATGAAAGCAGTCACACAGAATTTGTCCATGCATTTTAACCCATCTTAATGGGTTAAAAACCCCGGGTGGTCACAGCTCAGATCTCAGTAAGCTCTCCGGGAAGCACAGACAGGACACACAGACAGGAGCTGGGGCTCCAGCATTGGCAGTGAATTGCCAGGCTGATGTGTGAGGGTGCAAGGACCACAAGGGTGGGGACAGGGACAGGGATGGGCAGGATGACACAGCCTGGGGCTGAGAGGCAGATGGGGGAAGCTAGAGCAGAGCTGTGAGGGAAGCCAAGGGCGGGAACTGGCATGTCAGGAGCATTGCAGGACAAGGCGGAGGCTAGAGGCTGAGGGAAAAGAGGACAGTGTGGTAGGAGCTGCAGGCCAGTGGGCAGAGCTGCCAGGGAGAAAGGAGCAGCAGGCAGCATGGGCCGGCGCAGCTGTGAGGCAGCTGGGCAGGAAGGGCTAACTGCCCCCCCAGAGCCAAGTCAGCATCCCCACGCTCAGCAGGCAGGCAGCTAGCAGCCACAGGCATCTGTCTGAGCTCATCTGAGGGCAGGAGCAGGGCCCCTGTGTATGCATCCACTTGAGTACGATGTCTATTAGCATTCACCCAAGCCATTTTAAAACATCCCAGTTATTGAGAGTCTCTCTGATAAGCACTGACGAGTCCAGGCGCTGCACCACTACCATCACCGCAGCATAGCAATCAGAAAGTGAGGCTTTCAAAGACCAGAATAAAAAACTAAGTTCAGAAGCTTATAAATTATTTGTATCTTTGACTCAAGGCTGCAAGCTTTGTTCAAGCCTGAAAGATATTAAGCAACTGAGCAACTGCTTGAGAATCACCATTCATTTAAAAAGAAAAAAAAAAGGCAACAAAACCCTACCACATTCAGTACTCAACAATAACTCCCTCGGAGTTTAATCTGCACAGGCTTACTACAGATCACTGAATACCAAAAAGAGATCGGTACCTGCTTTGTAAGTCGTTTAGGTGCAATTCGCCTACATAATGGGTGGCTGATGAGACAGTGATGATCCTAGCGTTGTTACTGTGCGTTCCTGATTGCTTCAGCATATCCAACAGGAGGTTAGTCAACAAGAAGTGTCCCAAGTAGTTCAAGCCGAAGTGCTCCTCAAATCCATCCTCCGTCTTCCTTTCAGGGACCAGCATCACCCCAGCTGGAGGAAAAAGTAGAGGTAAAACTTGTTGATTTATTTCAGAGGAGCAGCAAGCTAGATGGAGCACGATCTCCTGCTGCAGAGTGTAATCACAGCATTTAGAGCAATGAGTGACTGGTGATGGTATGTGAAGTGTAGGCACCGAATGATTTCTGACAAGAAAAATGTCAAAACCCCCATTTCAGTTCCTTTATCCTAGTAATATCTAGATTGACTTTCTCCCTCCCTCCCTGCAGGACTGAGGGTAAATGAGTTCATTTGTGAAAAGTGTTTTGAAGACATTAAAAGCTAAATTAACCCACTGCTGTCATGCCAGAATGCAATATTGCAGATCCACAAAAATAATTAATCCATCTGCAAGAGGGAGAATTTGGTGATCCCAAGAACCCTCCATTCCCTCCCACCAAAGAGCTCAGAGCAGTGGAGACAAGACCAGGAGAAGCAGCAGATCTGCTCTCCCAGACACCTTTCTCCTGAGTCCTGGTTGGAGTTTAAAGATCTGCTGAGTCTGCATTTGAAGTCTGTAACTTCTATCTCACTGGTGTGGGTAAGAAAAGATGTAGTAAAGTTACCCAATAAATCTTAATTACTGTGCTTACAAGCAGCTGCATATTGAAATTATGTTTTCAATGCTTATTTTGGCAATATTTTTGCATAAATATCTACAAACCACAATTTTCAAACACAGTGTCTAAAATAAGTAAGTATCCACATCCCTAATGTGCAATGTTGATTTCAGCATCTTGCAGAAAATTCTGAGCTCGTGCATAAATTATATCATGTACTGAGGCTGTGTGGGGGATAACTATCCTGCTCAATTATAGCATAGATTTGAATACTATAAATTCTTCTTATTTTATTAAAATTTAATTACTGTACAAGTGGACATGACCTTCGTAATTTAAAGGCAGATGGACATGGTTCCTGGAAAATAGTGTTGTAGGATGCTTGTCTTCTCTCTAAAATACATGAATATGATACAGCAGAAAGGCCACCTCTGCTCACAGACATAAGAGAGCGTCAGCTTAATCCTTGCGCTACTTCACCTGCCCATTATGTAACCTTTATCATCCCATTTCTTGATGTCAGCCTGGTGATGGCACTTTAAATGAGCATTTTAAATTGTACATGCTAAGCCTCTACACCATTCCTTTGGGGGTCCTGCCACCCAACAGTCCTGCTTTGTTGCTGCTGCTTGGACAAAAGGGGAGATATTTTCAAGATCTTTTCAGTATGGCAAACACCCATAGCAATTCACCTATAGCTTCCTACTGCTTAATGGAGAAACTGGAGAAGGAGCATGAGGGGAAGAAACTTGAGAAGATCTTCTGGTTGAGAAATCAAAAGGTTTGGGTGTAACACAGCAACTTAAGACTGTACATAAACGATGCTGACTGATGGTACAACAAAAGAAACGCAATGCAAATTACATGATAAGGCTCTACAAAAGCTCTGATTAGCATCTCCCTCTGTCAATATAGCCACTTTCCCAGAACTCTCCGAATGACAGAAAAACCCAACTAGCAGATGTGGTTTCTCTGCGTGTCAAATCTCAACTTCACCTATGGGAAGACACAAATTAGAGGGCATCTGGTGAGGTGTCACACTGTATTCTCCTTCTTCAGCAGCACTTAGTCTGATGGATGGGGCAAATTCTCATAGAGTTGAAAACAGAGTTCTATTTCTTTTCTAAACTGCATATAATCACACTTGGAACCATGGCTGGGACTGAAACCTGGTGTGAAGGTTATGGACAGATGCAAACGTGAGACAAGCCCAGTTGTGACTTTTTCTTGTTTTCTGGGAAGAAGGAAAATGTGGGAACGGCAACAAACCTCAAGTTCCCAGACCAAGTCTCGGCTTGCTACAGTACAAGTTTTAACAAAGACAGAACTCAGCATGAGCTGTTGGAGGGCAGATGGGAATATTGCTGCATCTCAGAGCACCAGGGCTGATACAAGGAAAAGATCTGCATATATCTGAGGCCCATCCTGCCCTCCAAAGCTCTGACATTTGGAAAAGGCAGAAGGAAACAGTTTGCCAGAGGTCTGTTTGCAGCAACACTGGTAAAATACAAGTCCAAGAAAAGGCAGCCAACATAAAACAGCCTTGGCACAACAAGGCTGCACTGAACCCCAAATGCTGCTTCTGCATCTGCTGGGGCTGCTGCAGGGCTCACTGTAGGACCCCTCCATGCGCAGACACATTTCTGTTGGCTGAGTCAGACAGAGGGATGGAGGAATTTGTCCTCAGAGAAGTGTGTTAGACAGCTGCTACAGCCATTCAGCTTTGCATCACAACCAGCAGGCAAACACAGCAAGGCTGTCATTGCTCACATTAGCCCCGAGGATGCCTGTGCCACAGCAACTGCCCCCCTGACCTCCAGAGAGGCACAGGATTTCAAGAACACATAGAGGCTTTGCCCTCCACCCCAATTAGTCTCCACCATCTGCGCTGCGCATCCTGGAAGAAAAAACAGACCTGAGCTCAGGTCAGGAGACAGAAAAAATTTTCACTCATGCAATGCACAACTGTTAAGATACACACTTCCCAAAATTATTTTGCTCCTTCTTCAGAAGCGCCCTCTGAGAAGAAATTGTGGTCAAGTGTTTGAGCAGTCACAATCACCTCTGCTTGCATTTGATGCTACTACAATTTCCTTTTTGTCTTCAATAGCTGGTCAAATAATAACAAGCCTGAACACCTTTGAAAGACTTTTTTTTCCTTTTTTTAAAGGCTCTCATCTTTGAGGTGGTTCATAGTAAGGCTGTCAAAAAAATCTTGCCCTGCAGTCTGAGGGCAGTTTCTCTTATTTGAGGAGAAGCCATTTTAATTCACTGAAAGTGAGCATACAAAGGAATACCCAACAGGCAACTGAACCTGGATGCTTCCCTGACAAAAGGGAAAACCTTGGAAGTGTAGCAGCAAGCTCTCTTTTTTAAATTATTAACTACCTAACATTCAGTAGATACTAAAATTGGCATGCTATTGATTTTCTCTTGTCCAGAAACATCATCAGCTTTACTTAAGGGCCCCAAATGGTAACTCAAAGAATGAAAACTGCTTCTATTTTTAATTCTTTGGATTAATCCAGTACTATCTGAAACATTAGCAAATCCCTTATCTCTTCATTGCAAACTAAGAACAATTCTTCCAGTATGGAATCCATACAACTCAGTATCTTTCCGATTTTAATTATCAATAGTCAGCCTCATCATTTTTTTGGAGTGCATGTGAAATTTGAAGTGGCAGCACACAAACCATTAATGTCAAACACCTCACTTCTGATACAAGCATCTTATACTTTTTTCCCCCTGATTTAGCTGGATTGTCTCCAGAAGATGGTATGGCATTAGAAAATGAATTAATAAGTAAGCTGAACATGAACTCTTACTTTGTAATTCATTAGCTGTTACTGAAATATTCCAGCAAAAGACTGACAGCATGTGCACAGAAAACTGCCTAAATGACACATGGATGTATGCTTTTGCAGGAGTAGAAATAAAATAGAATAAGGAAAATATTTTTCTGCATAACTATGCTGAACAGCTGCTCTTCTTATAGATATAATAATACACTCCAATGTACTGCAGTTCTGCATTTATTGTATATGGTCAAATTATACATATTTTTAATTAGCTTTAATGAATAAAAAAAATTCTATCATTTTCTGCTTCTATGACTAGGCAAAAGTTGTATTTTTCACTCAAAGAATGAATATACCTCAAGGGAACTGTCTTTGTAAACAGGCATTTATAGCTATTTTCTATTAAAGTTTCTAATGAAACTCTTGGTTTCTGATCCATCAATTAATCAAGCCTTGTGTGATTTTAAGAGCAAAATGGATCTGATAGCACACACAACATAACCAAAAAGTTTATGATAGTTGTAAATATTACAGGCCAGGCATACCACATTTTTATTGAATTATACAGGAGAATTTTTACTATGCCTGCTCATACTGCAGACGATGACAAACATTGCTGTAACTCCTGTACCTCCCACTGCAAAGACATCCTTCATCTCCATTACAAAATATGTTTTAAGAGCTGTAAAAATACAAATATTTCACTCATCTGAACATATTTACAGTGAGCTACTTGGAGGTTTTTAAAGTCAGTTCTCTCAAACTCACTACAAAAGAAAGACTTAGAATCTCTTTTTCACATGCAGAACAAAATGTCTTCCTTCCCAGCCAGGCTCACAGAAGAGGATGTGAGGGCAGATCCCGTTCACACAAGTCCTTTTATCCCCAGACACCCAAAGGCTGGGCAGATAATGCAAATGGTCAGCCACGTAACACCTTCACAGAAGGAGGTGAACCTAAATAATCACATTCACCCAATTTTTCCTATTTACAGGGAAGAGATACATCCTGTATCAAAAATATTCCCCAGGGCAAAAATTAACTGAGACAGTACTTCCAGTAAAAGCACAAAGCCTTTCCTCTATACAGGCTTTGTATTGGTTTAGCCAATGCATTTAGCAGCATTTTCCATCCCATGAGTGCAGTCACACAAGGCAACCCACCTCACTCAACTGAATGTCAAAACCACTCTATTCTTCACACCCATACACCAAAACAGCTATGGGTGTACCTACATATAAAATAGTATAGCCCACTTCTCTCCTGAACAGATGAACCCTGCAAGTTTCCTGGCTGGGCTGCCTATCCCAGATTGCTTGTTCCCCCTTATTCATCTGGGCTATGCGATCCTAGAATACACCTGCCTTGTGGGTCTCTCCTGGCTAGTGAGCAACGAGAAGGGGTAATGCCTTATTGGAAGAATTGCCCCCAGAATTGCTTTCTGGAGACACAACGGTACCCACATGATTGTTTTTTACAGGTACACCTCATCTGGGCTGCAGAGCAGTGAATTTAGAGCACTGCTGCGACACACTGCTTGCTAAGCCACATCCCTAACCCATAGTCCAGTGCTAAAGGTATGTCATATGCCTATTGGTATCCCATAAAAGTGTTCCAAGTCTAGACAGCACCA